CCCCAAATGCTATTCTCTGACACCCTGTACTCGGGACACCACTGTTCTCTCTGACAACACTGCTATTTGACACCACTTTTGACACTACTTTTTTCCTGACACCACTGTACTCTGTGCACCACTGTTACTGACACCACGTACTCTCTGACACCACGGTTACCCCCTGACCCCATGCTTTCCCCGACACATGCTACTCCTGACACCACTTCTACTCCTGACACCACTGCTATTTTGGGCACCATGCATTGAACATTTGTCCCTTTACCCATGCACTCTTGAACCACTGTTTACTACCTGGACACCACGCTACTCCTTGACACCACTGCTACTCCCTGACCCCACTGTTCCCTCTGACACCACTGTTCTCTGACACCACTGCTACTCTTGACACCCCTGCAACTCCCTGACACCCCCTTCTACTCTGAAAACACTGCTACCTTGGACACCACTGCTACTTGCATTCTGCCTGACACCACTGCTATTTCCTGAAAACCACTGTTACCCCCTGACACACTGCTATTCTGTGAAAACCACTGCTACCCCTTGACACCACTGTTACTCTCTGACACCACTGTTACTCCCTGACACATGCATCGGGCAACTCTACTCCTGACACCACTGCTACTCTTTGACACCTGCTACTCTGACCCACTGCACTCCTGAACCACTGCACTCTGACACACTGCTACTTTTGACCCCACTGCTACTCTGACACCACTGCTACTAGACACCACTGCTATCTCTAAAACCCACTGTTTCTCTCTGACACCACTGCACTCTTGACACCACTGCTACTCTGAAAACCACTGCTACTCCTGACACCACTGCTACTCTGGACACCAATGCCCCCCTCTCTGAAAACCACTGCTACTCGACACCCACTGCTACTCTCTGACACCATGCTACTCTGACACCACTGCTACTCGGACCCCACTGTACTCTGCACCTGCACCCCTGACACACTGCTACTCTGCACACTGCTATCTCTGACACCACTGCAACTCCTGACACCACTGCTCCTTTTGACACCACTGCTACTCGGGACACCACTGCTACTCCTGACACCACTGCAACTCCTGACACCACTGCAACTCCCTGACACCATTTTATACCTGAACCACTGATACTCATGACACCACTGTACTCGACACCTAAGTCGACACCACTGCTATCTGACACCACTGCACTCTACCAGCTATTCTGACACCACTGCAAACTCCTGACACCACTGTTACCCCCTGACACCACTGCTATTCTGGACACCACTGCTACCCCTGCACCATGTACTCTTGCACCACTGTACCTGACACCACTACTATTCGTGACACTGCTCTCTGACACCACTGCTACTCTTGACACCATGCTACTCCTGACCCCACTGCTACCCCCTGACACCACTGCTACCCCCTGACACCACTGTTGCTCTGACACCACTGCACTTGCACCATGCTTCTTGACACCACTGCTACTACTGACACCACTGCTACTACTACCCCAAACTGCTACTCTGAAAACCACTGCTACTCCCTGACACCACTGCTACTCCTCACCCCACTGCTACTGACCCCACTCTACCCTGACACCACTGCTACCAACCCTGACAACTACTGACACCTGCTTTACCTGACACCACTGCTACACTGAAACCTCTACCTCACCACGGGTTACTCGCACCACTTGCTACAACCTGAAAAACTCTACTCCTGACACCTGTTACTCTGACACCACTCCCTACTCCTGACCCCACTGTACTCGACACACTGCTACTCCCCTGACACCACTGCTACTCCGACACCACTGCTACTCTGACACACTGCTACTACTGCCCACAACGCTACCTGACACCACTGCTACTCCTGACACCATTGCAAACTACCTGACACCACTGTTTACCTAAAACAACTGACACCACTGCTTCTCCTGACACCACTGTACTCTGACACCATTGCTTACATACCTGACCACGCTACCTGAAACAACTGCTACCTGACACCACTGCTCTCTGACACCACTGACTCCTGACACCTCTACATTCTTGACACCACTGCTATTTCCTGACACCACTGCTATACCTGCCCACCACTGCTACTCCTACACCACGTTCCTCTGACCCCACTTGCCTGACACCACTGCAAACTCCGACATCTGCTACTCCCTGACACCACTTACTCCCTGACACACTGCTATTCTTGACAAACTGCTATCCCTGACACCACTGCTACTCTTGACACCACTGCTACTCCTGACACCACTGCTACTCCCTGACACCACTGTTACTCCCTGACACCACTGCTATTCTGTGACACCATTGCTACTCTGACACCGCTGCTACTGCACCACTGCTACTCCTTTTTCACCAAACTGCTACTTGACCCCACTGTACTCTCTTCGGACACCATGCTACTCTCTGACACCACTGCTACTTCTTGACAACCACTGCTACTCTGACACCACTGTACTTTCTGACACCATTTGCTACTACCTGACCCTACTGCTACTCTGACACCACTGTTATCTCTGAAACCATGCTGTTCTCTGACCCCACTGCAACTCTCTGACACATTTTCCTGACACCACTGCTACTCTCTGACACCCTGCTACCTGAACCACTTGCCCCTCTGACACCAACTGCTACCCCCTGACACCACTGCTATCCTGACACCATGCTACTCTCTGACACCTGCTACTCTGACACCACTGCTACTGACACACTGCTACTCCTGACACCACTGTCTCTGACCCACTGCTCCCCTCTGACAACCACTGCTACTCTGAAAACCACTGCTACCTGACAACCCCGATCTGACACCCCCTACTCTGACACACCGCTACTCCACGCTACGCCCACCACTGCTATTCTTGACACCACTCCCTACTCCTGACACCACGCTACTTTTGACACCACTGTTACTCTGACACCACGCACTACTCTGACACCACTGCTACTCTCTTGACACCATTTGCTACTCTGGACACCACTGTTACTCTGACACCACTGCAAACTCTCTTGACCACTGCTCCCTATGACACCCTGCTACTGACACCACTGTTTAATCGCACAACGCTATCTGACACACCTACTCTCACCGCTACTTGACACCACGGCTACTCTGCACCCCGCTATCCCTTGACACCACTGTACTGACCCCAAACTGCTACCTGACACCACTGCTACTCTGACACCACTGCTACTGACACCTGCTACTGGAACCACTGCTACTCTGACACCACTGCCCCCTCTGACACCACTCCCAACTGACACCACTGCTACTCTGACACCACTGCTACTCTGACACCACTGCTACTGACACCACTGCTACTCTGACACCACTGCTACTCTGACACCACTGCTACTCTGACACCACTGCTACTCTGACACCCCCGCTACTGACACCTGCTACTCTGACACCACTGCTACTCTGAACCACTCCGACACCACTACTCTGACACCACTGCTACTCTGACACCACTGCTACTCTGACACCACTGCTACTCTGACACCACTGCTACTCTGACACACATGCTACTCTTGACACCACTGCTACTCTGACACCACTGCTACTTGACACACTGTACTCTGACACCCTGCCTTGACACACTGCACTCTGACACCACTGCTACTCTGACAACCACGCTACTCTGACACCACTGCTACTCTGACACCACTGCTACTCTGACACCACTGCTACTCTGACACCACTGCTACTCTGACACCACTGCTACTCTGACACCACTGAAATCTGACTCACTGTAACTGCACACTGCTACTCTGACACCACTGCTACTCTGACCCCACTGCTACTCTGAACCACTGCTACTGAAACCACTGCTACTCTGACACCACTGTACTTGACACCATGCTACTTTCTGACACCACTGCTACTCTGACACCACTGCTACTCTGACACCACTGCTACTCTGACACCACTGCTACTCTGACACCACTGCTACTCTGACACCACTGCTACTCTGACACCACTGCTACATTTATCATCATTTACTAAAAGTAACATTAACGTCTATTTCTCCCTTAAACCACGTCTCTGTAGCCCTAAAATACCCTAATTACCTATAATTACTCCCAGAACCCTAAAATACCCTAAAACTACGTCCAGAACCCTAAAATACCCTAAAACTACGTCCAGAACCCTAAAATACCCTAAAACTACGTCCAGAACCCTAAAATGCCCTAAAACTACGTCCAGAACCCTAAAATACCCTAAAACTACGTCCAGAACATTAAAATACCCTAAAACTACGTCCAGAACCCTAAAATGCCCTAAAACTACGTCCAGAACCCTAAAATCCCTATAACTATGTCCAGAATCCTAAAATATCCTATAACTACGTCCAAAACTCAAAAACCCAAATTTATAACACCCTAAAATTACGCCAGAACCCTAAAAATACCCTAAAGCACGTCCAGATCCCTAAAATACCCTATATCACCCTAAGACTGTAACCCTAAAATATCGGAACGTGACAAAAATATTAATTTTCAGTATTATTTCCAATATTTAGGATTTAAAGTAACCCAATGCTCACTTGTACCCTAAATAACGTACCCAGAACCCTAGAACCTCTTGTGACACCAAAAAACTACTTTCTAAACCCTAAAATATGCGTCGTTACGACCCAAGGGTAAAAATTGTTGATATTTGCAGTAATTTAACCTTTAAATTCTAAATGTTGGAGATGTTAGTACCTATTTGTACCCTAAAGAACACCTCTAGAACCCTAGAACCTCCCGCAACACCCTAAAACTACGTCTAGAACCCTGAAATATGGAAAGTTCTGAAGGAACGTCGGAAAGACGATATTTTCACTAATATCTCCGACACCTGCATTTAAAGTCCCACAATGACCATTTGTGCCTTAAACAAGGTGTCTAGAACCCTTAAACCTCCCGCATAACCCTAAAGAACCCCTTCAGAACCCTAAAATCTGTGGGGTTTTGGAAGGTAGCCGGTAGAGTGGAGGTATTTGTGGAGAGATCTTACCTTATGACGTGAGACATGACGCAGGGCAGCACTACCATCACTGCCAGTTATGTCACCATCAAGCTTCCATCATGGGGGAGGAAATGAGGGTAATAAATGCGAGTGTGACGCCACGGCAGGAAGAACAACAACTAGATCAGAGTCGGAGGAGGAGAGTAGAGCAGCGTCATGGCGGCCGCCGCCATCTTTACTGTTGCTATGGTAACCCCCTCCCCGCAACACGCCGACATTTATTCCACTAATTAAGCCTTTTCTCGACCATTTTGACCTTTTGTGGTGTCTTTTGGGCAATGGAATTGTCAGTTAAATGCGTTCTGATGAAGAGCAAAGGTGCTCTTGATCCCAGGGAATGGGAAATGGCAAATATCATGAAGCCGTCCCCGCAACACAGCATAATCAAGGCCCCAGCATCACTCAGATCTCATCTCCCATATTTTGACCTTTTTAAGGCATTTAAACCTCGTTTAGGTCATTCTAAGTTCTTTTTTTAAGGCATTTTAAACTCTTAAAAGTTTTTTTAAGATATGTTACCCTCTTTAAGGCCTTTTTAAGGGGATTTAAGTATTTTTCAAGAGCCTTTTCATAATAATTTAACCTTTTAAGGTAAATATTTTACGCTTACCTCATTTTAAGGAAACAAGTTCAACCTACCTGCTAAGTAATTACTTAACAAATGAACTTTTAAGGTAAGTAACTTTAAGTAAGTAAACTTTAAGTTAGTGACTTTAGGAAGTAAACTTTAAGGTTAGTGAACTTTAAGTAAGTAAACTTTAGGTTAGTGAACTTTAAGGAGTAAACTGTTAAGGTTAGTGATCTTTAGGAAGTAACTAGGTTAGTGAACTTTAGGTAAGTAAACTTTAAGGTTATGAACTTTAAGTAAGTAACTTAAGGTTAGTGAACTTAAGGTAGTACATTAAGGTTATGAACTTATAAGGTAAGTAAACTTTTAGGTATGACTTAAGGTACAGTACTTTTTAAGGTTTGTGAACTTTAAAAGTGGGAAGTTTAAGTTAGTGAACTTTTTAGTAAGACTGACTTAAAATCTTTGACCTAGCTACACCTGTCACGTACCTCAAAATTATACAGTGAAAGGTTGAATACAGTGATAATAGGAATGGCAGTGAATATGAATAATAGTGATGGTCAGTGAATAGGAATAACATTAATAATATGAATGGCAAGTGAATAGTGAATAACAGTGAATAATATGATGGCAGAATAACAGTGATAGTGATAATGAATACAGTGATAGTGATAATGAATAACAGTGATAGTGACAGTTAAAACGTGATGCTAGTGAATAATAGTGAAATGAACTAAAATTAAAGTGAATAACATGAAAGTGAATGACAGAGAATTTATAGTGAATAACAGTGAATGACAGAGATAGTGACAGTGAATAACGGACTATAGTGAACGCTGAATAACAGCAAATGATACTGACAGTGAAAATTAACGACAGTGAATGATAATGATGTATGATAGTTGAATGACGTGAAAGTGAACGACAAGGAATGATGGTTATTGTGAATGAAAAATGACAGTGAATACAATGATAGTGAATGACAGTGAAAGTGAATGATGTGAATGACGTGATAATGATAGTGAACTTAAGGGAAGTAAACATGAATGTACTGATAGTGAATTACAATGGTGAATAAATAGTGAAAGCATATGATTGATACAGGAAGTAAGCAATAGTGAATTTGGTAAGTGAATGAGAAGGAATATAGTGAGTGATTTAAGGTGAATAACAATTTATTAGGTGAACATAACACAGTGAATTAATAGGAATAATGACAATGAATATTACGAGTGACAGTGACAATGAATGATAGTGAAAATAAGTGAATGACAGTGAATAATAGTGACAATGAGAGTGAATGATAGTACATGATAATGACAATGAATGATAATTATATCAATGAAGTGATAGTGAATAACAGTGAATGATGGTGAATGACAGTGATAGTGAATGAACAGTGATGATAGTGAATGCATGAATGATATGAATACAAGGATAGATAGTGAATGACAGGAATGATGGTGAATGCAGAATGATAGTGAATGACAGGATGATAGTGAATGACAGATGAAGGTGAACAGGATATTAAGTGAATGACAGGAATGATGGTAAAATAACAGTAATGATAGTGAATGAAGGAATGATATAATGACAGGAATGATGGTGAATGACAGGAATGATAGTGAATGACAGGAATGATAGTGAATGACAGGAATGATGTGAATGACAGGAATGATAGTGAATACAGGAATGTATGTTGGAATGACAGAATGATAGTAATGACAGGAATAATAGGAATGACAGTGAATTAAGTAAATGACAGGAATAGGAAGTGAATACCGAGAATATATGAATGACAGGAATAATAGTGAATTACAGGAATAATAGTGAATGACAGGAATGATAGTGAATGACAGGAATAGTAAATGACAGGAATGATAGTGAATGACAGGAATAATAGTGAATGACAGGAATAATAGTGAATTACAGGAATAATAGTGAATGACAGGAATGGAAGCGAATGACAGGATAGTTGAATGACAGGAATGATAGTGATAAAGTGATACAGAGAAATGATAGTGAATGACAGTGAATGATAGTGAATGACAGGAATGATAGTGAGTGACAGGAATGATAGTGAATGACAGGAATGATAGTGAATGACAGGAATGAGAGTGAAATGACAGAATGAAAGAATGACATGAATGATAGCTGAATGACAGGATGATATGAATGACAGGAATGATAGTGAATGAAAGTGATGAGTGAATGACAGGAATGATAAGTGAATGACATGGAATGATAGATACAGAATGAAAGTGAATGACATGATGAGGAATGACAGTGAAATGATTAGTGAAGTGACAGGAAATGGAATAGTGAAGACAGGAAATGAATGACAGTGAACATGATAGTGAATGAAAGAATGGTAGTGAATAAGGAATGATAGGAATGACAGGAAATGATAAGTGAATGACAGGAATGGTAGTGAATGATAAGTGAATGACAGGAATGATAGTGAATCGATAGTGAATGACAGGAATGATAGTGAACATAATGACAGGAATGATAGTGAAGTAATGACAGGAATGAATAGTGAATGACAGGAATGATAGTGAAGATAATGACAGGAATGATAGTGAATGATGACAGGAATGATAGTGAATGACAGGAATGATAGTGAATGATAATGACAGGAATGATAGTGAACATTGACAGGAATGATGTGAATGACAGGAATGATAGTGAAGATAATGACAGGAATGATAGTGATGACAGGAATGATAGTGATGAAATGACAGGAATGATAGTGAATGACAGGAATGATAGTGAAGATAATGACAGGAACGATAGTGAATGAAGGTATGAAGTGAACGATAATAACAGGAATGATAGTGAATGACAGGAATGATAGTGAATGACAGGAATGATAGTGAATGACAGGAATGATAGTGAATGACAGGAATGATAGTGAATGACAGGAATGATAGTGAATGACAGGAATGATAGTGAATGACAGGAATGATAGTGAACGATAATAACAGGAATGATAGTGAACGATAATGACAGGAATGATAGTGAATGACAGAAATGATAGTGAACGATGACAGGGAATGATAGTGAACGATAAAGACAGGAATGATAGGAATGATATGACAGGAATGATAGTGAATGACAGGAATGATAGTGAACGATGACAGGAATGATGTGAACGATAATGACAGGAATGATAGTGAACGATATGACAGAACGATAGTGATACGATAATGACAGGAATGATAGTGAAGATGACAGGAATGATAGTGAATGACAGGAATGATAGTGAACGAAAATGACAGGAATGATAGTGAACGATAATGACAGGAATGATAGTGAAATGACAGGAATGATAGTGAACATAATGACAGGAATGATAGTGAACGTAATGACAGGAATGATAGTGAACGATATGACAGGAATGATAGTGAACGTATGACAGGAATGATAGTGAACGAACAGAATGATAGTGAACGTAATGACAGGAATGATAGTGAACGTAATGACAGGAATGATAGTGAACGTATGACAGGAATGATAGTGAACGATAATGACAGGAATGATAGTGAACGAAATGACAGGAATGATATTGAATGACAGGAATGGAAATGATAGTGAATGACAGGAATGATAGTGACAGCGAAGATAGTGAATGAGAGTGATATGATACAGTGATCGATAATGACAGGAATGATAGTGACGATAATGACAGAATGATAGTGAATGACAGGAATGATAGAGTAACGATAATGACAGGAATGATAGTGAATGACGTAATGAGGCAGGAATGATAGTGAATGCAGGAATGATAGTGAAACAGATAATAGACAGGAATGATAGTGAATGACAGGAATGATAGTGAAGGATAGGATGACAGGAATGATAGTGAATGACAGGAATGATAGTGAACGATAATGACAGGAATGATAGTGAATGACAGGAATGATAGTGAACGATAATGACAGGAATGATAGTGAACGATAATGACAGGAATGATAGTGAATGACAGGAATGATAGTGAACGATAATAACAGGAATGATAGTGAATGATAATGACAGGAATGATAGTGAACGATGACAGGAATGATAGTGAATGACAGGAATGATAGTGAACGATGACAGGAATGATAGTGAATGACAGGAATGATAGTGAACGATATGACAGGAATGATAGTGAACTTGACAGGAATGATAGTGAATGACAGGAATGATAGTGAACGAATACAGGAATGATAGTGAAGTGACAGGAATGATAGTGAACGATAATGACAGGAATGATAGTGAATGACAGGAATGATAGTGAACGATAATGACAGGAATGATAGTGAATGACAGGAATGATAGTGAATGACAGGAATGATAGTGAACGATAGACAGGAATGATAGTGAATGACAGGAATGAAGTGAACGATGACAGGATGAATGAATGACAGGAATGATAGTGAACGTAATGACAGGAATGATAGTGAAATGACAGGAATGATAGTGAACGTAATGACAGGAATTATGAAGTAATGACAGGAATGATAGTGAACGATAATGACAGGAATGATAGTGAACGATAATGACAGGAATGATAGTGAACGATAATGACAGGAATGATAGTGAATGACAGGAATGATAGT